GTCAGTTTAAACCAGAAGGTCCGAGGTTCAAACTCACCAGCCACTCCTTGGAAACCCTAACCATGATCACTACGAGTCTGAACCGATTCAACAGCACTTAACAACAACATACCATGAAAAAGTCTGTCTCCAGTTATAACCAAAAAAAAAAAGTCTACACTGTATTTTCTAATGTACAGGCAAAGGGCTCAAAACACTTTTTGTCACAGATTTGGTTCCTCGAGAAGATTCTGAGTTGGTGCTTAGCAGGCTTATCAGGAAAGTGCTCCTGGAATCCACACCTGTGAAAAGCAGGGAGGATGAAGCAGAGGGAGAAGTTGACCTGGGGCACAGTCTCTGTGAAAGTTTCCCTTCAGGGAGGATCTGAAGCTATAATGATGTTTCAGAGTTGTCCTGAGCCTTTATATCTCACGTGGATCAGTCATTACATGCTGGCCAACTCAGTGGCCTTGAAGGTGGTTCTCCAGCTAAGGTTGACAGCTGAGCAGGCAACTTTCTGTTGGCAATACTCCCAGCAGTTGGGGGAGGAAGTCCTTCTTTCCTGAAAGGGGCTCTTGCACCATAGCTTACACCACAATTCTCTGCCAAGCTACCAGGGGCCCATGCTTCCTTGCCCCATCATGCCTCTAACACACCCGCTAAATACCTGACATGAGATATGGTGATAATCATTCATTAGACACAGTTCTAAGCCTCATGGCTGCCATCTGCTCTGCTTCCAAAGGACCATTCAGGGCCTGGGCAAACAACATCAGAGTTTCAATGGCAAAAGCGGAATGGCCATAACCATCTCTGATGTCATGCTAAAATCAAATGTAGCATAGACTGTTAACACTGGACCACCACCAGCTGCAAGTGATGCCTTGGAAAGCAGCCCTGGTCACAGCCTCAAAAACGCTATAGAGCACAGTTCTACTCTATAGTCACGGGGTTGCTATGAGTCGGAATTGATTCAATGACAACCAACAACAACAACAAATCTCTGATTCTCATATACATCTAATTCAGTCCTTATCCTTTATGAAGCTTCCAAAGGTAGCCTTAACATTTTGAAATTTAGACCTGTGCTAATTTTCATACCATATGTCTACAATCTCAGAGGTTTTTCTAGGAATGCAGTGACTCTGATGAAAACCAACCAAAGAAGAAAAAAGATCAGTCACTCTCTGAGGCTTTTGAAGGGAAGACAAATTAGACAACCAGTCTGCTTATGGAGAACATGAGGGGCTGAATGCTGAAAGTACAAACCACCCTGAAACAAATTTAGATTTAAGTCTATAATATAAAAAATGATTAAGTCTTGAGAAAGTAGATAACTTCAAGGTAGTCACTGAACAGGACTAGATCCTTTCAAGATGTTAATTGAACGTTTCATATTGGAACCAGGGCCTTACACCCATGAATTGTCTATGGGAATAGGAAATAGAGGAATGCTCTGCGTATAAAATTTTCCTCCCAATTCTAAAGCAGCCAATAGTTTCAATACCTTAATCAGACACAGCTTTCACTGCCAATTCTGGCTTAGTGAAAGGAAAAAATAGTGTATCCCAATAATCTCCACCAAGTGTTCCCTGTGGGAATGTGTAATGTGCCCCCATTGTTGGCACAGATTTGGTCACTGGAACAGAAGTAGAACTGTGGAAGTGGGTGAGAAATGGTTTAACTAAAATCCCTCCCCAGCCTAGTTTTGTGGCCTGAATTCTTGCTTGTATATGTGATTACTGGACAGATTCCCATGTCACTACTTCAGGCCAACCCAGGATCACAGCAAAGTTTACTAGTCCAGACCCTGCAAATGAAATTTAGGCCCAACTTACAGAATAAGGGGCAAGCATACACACACACATTATAAAAGCATTTAATCAAGTGAAAATATTTAACTGCAGCCAATGACCAAGAAAGAAACACGTCAACAGAAAGAAAACTAAATCAGAAAGTTACTCCAAAACGAATCCTGAAATATGTCCAGGGTCAGCTGAAATGACTTATATGTTTTATACTGATG